TGGCAGTGAAGGTTACAGCTTGTCTCTATGGAGATATTAATGCTTAATTGGAATGTTCCTTGATATGCCATTGATACTTTGCAGTGACATCACGCTGGGAAGGTTCTTCATGTATGCCTATGGTGGAATTTTTAGCATTTACAAAGGAAAAACAATAGCGGTTCATAAGTTTTGGATTGCCTTAACTCAAGAGAAAAGTCCAAAATAAATTTTAAGTATTTGCAGAAATCTGAGATCAATACAAGCATCCATGGTTCTGTTTAGGCATGATTTTCAACAAAAAAGGTGAGAGTGACTAACTATGACTGTTGGCTGATGCTAGCTCATTTGTGCCTGTAATTTTATGTGTGAGAGACTTTAACAGCACAAATCATCTCCCCTGTTGTGGTTCCAGTTAAGACAGTTCTTTCTGGTCTGGTTGTGTTAAAATAAAACTCAGATTAAAGTTGTTAATTTCATATCAATTTAACTGAGCAGTCAATTGCACTGATTCATATATAAATTGACCAAAAATATATTTGCGCCATCTGCTTGTCTCCATGTGGATAGATATGTGTCATGTCATACTGAGGAACATTACAGGCAAAGCAACATCTCCAGTTCATAGTGAAGCAGATGAGCGACCATCCATCCATTGGCTCCTAAGTCTGTTTAAGCTTTTGTCTCATCCAACCTTTGTTTTCCACACACCTATGTTTTGCAATAACTTATTTGTAAGTGTAAGCCCTCCAACCACTTCTTTGGGTGTAAATTGCCCCATACGGCTGTGGTTTGGGGCTTGGGAATGTTGCAGCATTAGCAAAAGGCGATTGACCTCAAAGTGAAGCAAAGTGGAAAAGTGCTAAAAGCATAATTAGAGCTATTACTTTGCTAGCCACTTGTGAGTTTTCCTCCGATCTGTGCTACCATGTGATTAGCTGTGGAGCCTAAACAAGGTGCTGACAGTGTGTAGAGTATGGCAGGGATTTGCCACTGATATTTGAGACATGTCCTATAAGAGCCTTCCCTTTTTTCTTTATTCACTACTAGCTGTCAGAGTGTATGTGTGAATCTGTACTCTGTGTAGATTAAAGGGCACAAATTATGCTATTTTTTTGTTTCCTCAAAAACATACTATGAGTTGTTTTGTTTCATTCACACATGTTTAACACAGAAACCCTGCATACTTAGGCTGAGTTCTTCTCTCAAACAGAAAACACTCCTTACTTCAGTTCTGGAATTGCCTCTCTACTGAACTAAAGGTAAAATGTAGCTATTAACTCGTAAACTACCACTATATAACATCACAAGGTGGAAAAGAGCATTTTGAGCTTTGGAGATGTAAACAGACTAATAATAAAAGGTTACTCAAACATGTGTGTATGAAACAAAAACACAATCCCTGGTATGTTTTTGAGGTAGTAACAGCATTCTAACGTGGCTAACGGCTCATAAGAGGCAGTTTTGTGTAATATAGGACCTTTAAGGACTGACGTTACTGGCTATGTTTAGGGTCATGTTTTCTTGTGGAAAAATCACATGTAGTCTGGGGTTGACCACACAGTATGACTAAAGATTGCCTGTGACAAGGATATGTGCCACTAGTGCAGAAAATGTGTGTATAAAGTTGATAGAAACTAAAGTAATGTGCACTTTTTGTTCTCTTAGTTAAACTGTGCATAACATTTTCTTATTTGCCAAGTAATTCTTAGTCAAAGTTAAACAAAATATACATGTGTTTTGTTCTCCAGATATATTGTGGCTAAAATGTTTGTTTTGCGATAACCTTCCGTGTCAGTTGTCTTGTTCTAGTTGAGCTCTTCTATCCCCTGCTGTCACTTCTGATTCGAGAGCTCTTGAGTTACAAATCTGGCTAGTTGAGGGATTTGTGCACATTTGACCCCAATACTCGAACGTCAAGTGCGGACACGAGTGGCTAAGATAGAACCACATCTGTTTACATATCCACTGCTGACCTCACATAATGCACTTAGGCAAGTTTATTACACATGAAACAAAATCATCATAATCATCTAAAACGTGGACATGAAGTTGAATTCTGGTTAATACGTTGGGTATATTTAGAACCAGGAAGTGAAGACAAATTAGACCAAGATTCATCTGGTTATTTTTATTCATTTTTTTCTTTTACAATTTTTAGAGCATAAGTTGTGCAGATTAACTCTTTTTTCATATTTTGTAATGCTTTCTCTGATCCTGCTAGCCAGGCTGGCGCCACCTACTGCCTCCGCTCAATTTCATTTCTCTCCAGCGACTAAGTCAGGAATCAAAATACAATAGACAGTTCGCAAAACCCCGGAAGTGCAAGTTCGGGCACCAGCCAATCAGCGAAGAGCTATACATTCTGTGTTGTCAACGATTCCCAAGATCGACGATTTAAAGCCAGAATTTAAAAAATCCTGCACACGTGCTTTAGGATTACTTGTCCATTCTCTCAAGAAACATCACGATTTAACAATTATCTACTATTACTGACACTATCAAAACAGTGTCGTTTCACATTGTCTAATAGATCAGTTCCCGTAGTATGTGACCAGGTTTACAAAATCAAACTTTCTGAATGTGAGTTAAGTTAGTGTAACATAAACAGCTGGACTAAAAACAGTGCTGTACATGTAGGTTTGCGTTTTTGGAGTTTAGATCGAAATGAAATTACTTATGTTTTATTTTTGCTTCTCACAAGTTTTTATGATTCTATTGTGATTTGAAATAATCAGTGTTAGCTGTTAACCATATATAATCTTGACATCCTTAACTGGCACATAGAGACACTGGAGCAGGTTAAATATCAAGTTAATTTTCAATATATGGCCAGTACGATATCCTACAATATTAGAAATTCCGAAGTTGGAACAGATATATTGTCAAGAGGCAGAAAACCAGAATAAGGAGAAGAAAACTAGTAGAGACTGATTCCACTATGCCCCTTACATTAGACTCGAAATATGCCACTCATTCATACAGTATTTACTCGGGTCTGCCTTGTTTCTACTGACCATGTGACTTTCTCTCCAGCCTCCACCTAACTCTCTCTAACCAGCTCTGATCATGTCCCCGGCCCCCGCGTGCTCTGTGCTTATCAAAGGCCAGTGCAGGGGCCCGGGGCGGTAATGCTCTTTGGACTGCTCTTTGGACTGCTCTTTATGAGTGGAGCGCACACAGGGACGAGAAGGCCGAGATCAAAGATGGCGGCGTGAGCTGGAGCTCTGATCTGGGCCCCGTGCGTTTGATGTGACATGGTTTAAAGCGGTGGGGCCGGAGAAGGGCTCAGCAGTAGTCACTTTACACAGGATATAATGAGTGATGGTGGCACAAGATGGGACTAAAGTGAGGGTTATTACTGGAGATGGTGCCAGAAGTTGCAGAGTGTTGCGTAATTTAGGCTGGGATAGATGCTAATTTACTGCTTACATGGCATTTTTAGACTATGTTGGAGTTTTTTTTGACACCATATCTGAACTAGAAAGGAATATTATATAAGATAATTCTGAAAGACCCAACTCTGATGATTTTTTTCATTTTTATCTTTTAGGTTCTGGTCAAACAACTGGCAGCTGCTGAGTTTGAATTGAGAAATGAAAATGGCTAGTGATCAAAGTCAGGTTGTAAATGAATTGCCTAACAGGGCTACAAAACTTACCTTTGACCATTTTAATAATCGTTATCTGAAGTATAAATACATTTGAAATTGTAGTATTGTGACAAAACTAATATGAAAGTATATTGTTATTGTTCTTAAGACTCCCAAATGTCCAGTGCTCATTGTGAAAACACGAGAGGGCTTGCTGGACTGGACAGTATGTCAGCTGTGGACTGTGCCTCCCTCCTGACCACTGGTGGACTCTTGCGTCATCCCAAATCCACACAGGCCACAGTGGTATTTGGAGAATGACTGGGGAGGAGCTCTTCACGCCACTATTGGCCTATTTCCAACATGACCCCAAACTATGAATGACCTGTACTGTTGTGTATTTGTATATATATAAAAGAAAAGTTGGTGGTTCTGCTCTTACTCATTCCAGTTCGTAACATATACTCACTGCTGTCCTTGGGCAAGACACCTGTCCTAACCTACTATTACTATAAAACCGCATTTTGAGTTTAATAATTTGGATAAATTGGCAGCCACACTTCCATCATTGTGTTAACAGTAGACCAGAGGAATAAGTAAATAACAGGGGTGTAACAATATCCAAGTCTCACGATATGATATCGTCACGGTATGAACCTTACGGTATGATTATTAGTATTGCGATATCGTGCGAAAGCTCACGATACGATGGGGAGGCACACGATTAGGGATGTAACAATATCCAAATATCTAACAATATTTTCACAATATATATCTCATGGTATGATATTTATTGCAATATTTTGTGGAGGCAAACAAAACTGAATATGCTACTTTTTCCTCTTAAAATGTCTTGACAAGACTTAATCCAAAGATCTGCAATTTAAAAGTTCTTGTAATCTACACTGAAACGGAGCAAAGGATCAAGGTCTATGTAGTTCCCTCTGTTTGTTTTAGCTATTGCTGCACCATAACTCTTCATTTAAGCAAAGAGACTTTCAGTATATTGTGATGGTCCACGATATTATTGTGAGAACTTTGACGACACGGTATCACGATATTGGTTATTGTTACATCCCTAGTAAATAAGCAGTGATGGTGCTCTACAACAGAAGCGAGAAGCTTTTTTTCACATTACTTAAATAGTATGCAAGTAGTGGTAATATTTGTGGTAGTATTTCACACTTAAGATTTTGTAGTAACAAGTTTTAATGGTTGCAGTAATATATTGTAGTTGTAGTAAAGGGGGATGGAAAATAATCTAAATGTAACCATGGAACTGTCACTTTTGAGATTTATTGCACATTTGCTTTGTTTTAAACCAACAATAGTAATATGATCCATTTAATTTATCTCTCATCTCTACTTTTCCTTTATTTATCTCTGTTACACAACTTTAATGTTTGTGTCTCTTTTTTCCTCCCTCTAGGCCCAGGATAAGAGGAAGGCCCTGGAAGAGACCAAAGCCTACACCACGCAGTCCTTGGCCAGCGTGGCGTACCAGATCAATGCCTTAGCCAACAATGTGCTGCAGCTTTTGGACATCCAGGCGTCCCAGCTGCGCCGCATGGAGTCTTCTATCAACCACATTTCCCAGGTACGAGTACGAATGGGGCAGAGGCGGAATGGTCCTTGTACAGGGGATTGTTCAGCCTGTATCCATGACTCCTTTATTGGTTCTTCAGTCTATGCCAAGGATGTCTGTGTGGAATGTTGGAAAAGCTAATGTTTGTGTAGTGAGACAGAAAAGTGCAAGTGGGGTCTAATACGTGACTGCATAGAGGTTTTGGTGAGATTTCCTAGTGACTTTTAAAAATACAATTTATGTGCCTTTACATTTAGTTGAACAGAATCCTAAAAGCACAGTTGAATCTCTGACTATTGTGTGTTTTCTGACCTGTTATGTTTTATTCAAGAGGTCTATATAGTGTGTTTAATTTTGTGTTGCATAGCTTGTATGGGGAAGATGTTCTGTCTAATTTTCTGTGTAATACCATCATTTGTTTTGTAAGTCCATATTCATGCAGTCAGTTGTTGGTTTGCCTAACACTAGCAGCAGTTCAATAAGTCAGCATGGTAAGGGCTTTGTTTTTAATGAGCAAAATTACTTTGCTTCATTTACTACTTTAATTAATGGTTAATAGTTAATGCATCCTATTACATGTTATCACATTTTTCCTGGCTTAGCTTTCATTAGAGTGGTTTCGCATGACCTGAGAATTGAAACCCACATCACAAAATTTTGGATATGTTTATATCCCACTTTGCGTTTCCGTGCAAAAACTACATTGTTTTAATTTGGATAAATGCTTTATGTTCAGGTCACTAGAGCAATGTCTTTGTTCCTATTCATTACTTCACTAAGTTATGTTATGTAAAGTGCATCAAAAGTACAAAGGTTTATTGAAAGCTAGCAATTAGCTGCAAGCCATTTAACCACCGAATGAACTCTGACAATGCAAGCTTTGTTTACATATTTCAGTTTTAATCACAGATTTATTGAATGTTCTTCTTTCTAGTTGTGGAAAAGTAGGAGCTGTCAAATGTTTGTAGTTATTGGAAAGGCGTGTTGGCTTTATGGGGTTAACTTCTAAGGGTAATGATATTTGCTCTCTTGACTGAGCCCACCTATTTACATTAGCTAAATCTATCCTGCAATGATATAGGCCAAAAGTATTTACCTCACTTGACTCTTGCCATGTGCAGGTAATCCAATGAAGGTATTAAGGGATCAGACAAATCAAACAGACACATCAGATGGAAGCCTATACAGCACCTTAACAACTACACATGATTCAGCAAACCGTATCAGAGCCTTGTTTTGTAATATGACTTTTCATATCTTTGTTTCTTGTCCATTCTTTAGGGACATCCACAGGTCAGATGAATAGAGGTAGTAGATTCACAAGAGATGAGGGATGACAAGCAAAGAAACTGCATATTTGCACTCCTTCAGATTTCCAGGCTGAGCCAAGGTCGCCACATTGCTGCAGCTTTCTCTTCATCGCCATGACAACCTTCCTGGCCGCGTTGGAAAAGCTGATGAAACAGAATTAGACATGGGGATTTAGATAAAAGAGACTAAAGTGAATGTAGCTTGGAGAGTGCATTGTCTTGCCAAAATCACACCAGGAAGAGTTCAGTATCTGGCTTTTTTTTTTTTTTTTTTTTACATACTCATGGCTTCCTGTTATATGCAACATCTTTACACCCTTTATCCATTCAAAGATATAGTATTTAGTTTTGAAATGTTAATAGTTATTAAAAATAAACAATTTAATTCAAAAAGAAAAATGGGTGAATTTGACTATACCAACAACTATGGATTTTACTGTATCTTGATTATATTTGCATTAACTAAACTTCCTAAGTTTGATTTCTGTGAAACACATTACAACAATTTAAATGGAAACTTCTGTTATTTTGTTTGGCCATGTAACCCTTATTTCTAATCACATCACAGGAAATATGAACTCCAGATTATATATTTTTGTTAATAATCATTTTACCCAAAATTTAAAAACATTAAATATGATCGATGATTCAGGAAAAGTCTGTTACAACAAAGTAATAAAAAAAACTGGAAACCACCCTGTTGAATAACCATCAGTTGGGAACATTATTATAACTGATGCATTTTTAATTACACACACCAATGAAGTTTCCACTATTCTGAAGCTTTATTATCCACCTATTGTTCCCCACACATGTGTCTCAGTCTTGTCTTATTCCTGGGAACTTTCTCACTTCCTGAAAAGTCACATCAGGTTAGCAATCTGTCAACAAAGGAAACGTCTTTCTCCTTTTCTTCTGATTCAAATCTGAAACACTAACTTCATCAGACAACGATCTGCGCTCCAGGGACAAACTTTGTGCTTATGCTCGTGTTTTTCTCTCATTTGCATAACTTGTCTGCTCACTTTCTGAATGATTTAGCAGTCTGGGCTGGCAGATGATGGCTCGATAAACCCTGAACGCCTCTTTTATCAGACACCTCTTTGTCTAGTTTTCAAGTGGAAGGAGGCCTGCTAGCTTAATAGCAATCAAATCAAAATTGCAATTTGAATAGACACAATTAACAAATCGCAAAGGGGGCAGTTTTTTAAGTACCATAATTTCCTCAAATAGCAAAACATCCTGTTTTTTTCTACATAAAAACTGCTAACCCTGTACTTTAGAATGTTTTGAATGAATGAATGCATTAGTTTGTGATTTCATATAGCAGTCTTTTTGTCAGTTCTCTTGCATGTATTAAAAGCGTGAACTCTGAACAATATTAAATCACAAATCTAATCACAATCGCAAAGCTTGTCAGAAAAATTGCAATTTGCTACTTTTAACAGATTGTTCCAGCCTAAGGGGGAAGGCTGGTTGTGCTTATGTGAGTAATAGAAATTAGCCCTGCATGTTCTGAGGAACTTAAATAGTAAACTATGACTATGGTTAGTTTTGGTGAAGCTGGCTCAGGGAGGTGGGTGTGTTTTTTCCATGTGCTGTGGTTCAGAAGAGTCAAATCCGTTCCCATTGTTCTCACCCCCACCCCATAGACTGATCAGGGTGTGGCCTTTCGTAGTTCCTCTGTGTCAAAACATGACAATACAAAATTATATTACACAATACAGTGTCATCCCTACACACCTAAAAGATAGACACTTGACTTGTCCTCTTGGTTTGTGTCACTGAGCAAGAATATTGGTTAGGAGCTTATGGCTGATTTGAAATTGTTTGATTATGTCCACATGTGGAGCTTTATTGAACTATTTGTTGCTCAACTTTAGAATTTCTCATTAACTATTCACATATTAGGGCTATTGAATTAATATTTTATTTTGACTTTAATTATTAAAAAACAAAAAAGATTTCAGGGCTTATCCTTTCCCACAACACCTGGAGCAAAACCACAAAACTACAGTCATAAAGAACTTTGTTGTGAAAAATAATTTGGGTAGTAAGAGTCAATTTTGAATCATTATTACAGTTTACAGTGAATAAAATATAAATATTATATCCTGTCCAGTTGCAGCAATCTTAAAAAGCTTAAGATTACTGCAACTGGACAGAATAGAGAAATTCTCCCAGTAATATTATTCATATTTACAATACTGAATAATCAACATTTTTAGTCGTGCAAACATAATGAAGTTGTCACTTCCGGATCCATCAGCTGATTCAAAATAATGAACATATTTACAATTTCCTGTTTTGGTTTTTTTTGTTGTTGTTCAAAACTATTATTCTAGGTAGATTTGCTGAAGTGAAATAAAGAGATTAGCATCATATGAGAGGGGTGTTAAGTTATTGACAAGTTTTACTGAATTCAAAATGTTTACTATTGTTATTATTTGTAAGTCAAGAAAAAAAAGATCTAAATCTAACAATCTTTTCTGATGGAGGCTTGCCTATACCCTCCTCCATTATGCAAGTCATTGGCTGAATCTCAGTCTATTTTGAATTTGAGTAATTGCACAGTTGTACCTCTATATGGCAAGTTCTTTATATATTGTTTTTTCTTTTTCTGTTGCTTTATTCTGAACTTTTATGCTCTTGTTGTTGACAAGTGGTCTCCTGCAGCAGCAGAACTGTTTGTGCTCTGTTGCAGGTGCACCAGGGCAGCAGAACTTGGCATTGTCAGGTGTTTGTTTGCATGTTACCTCTCGTGCTGTCACTTCCTTTCAGAGGCACCAGCTTCGGGGCCCAAGGGCTGATGGGCTTCCACCGAGCGCTGTGTGTGAAGTGGCTGCTAAGAGACTGCAGACAGAGCCAGCTTTGTAAGGGCAAAGGAAGAGAAAAGAGTCACATTAAAAGCCCATTACAGAGACACGGTAGAGAGGTGCTTGTTTCATAAAGGAAATGGCACTTGAGCATATATGAAATGGTTATGAAATATATTTATAAACATCAAATCAGCAGCACTACCTGGATTTATAATCGATGCAACCACTGCAATGAGATGTAGGTGTGACAGATACACTTGAATTATTTGTTGCCTCAACTTTATTTTCTAGAATCTGGTGCATGTCATGTTATGAGGCATATTAACTATATATTGTGCATATTCATGAGTCTGTTGAACTGCTTGTGTAACTGCAAGTGTTCAACAATTGTGCCAGGACAATAGACACAAAATAATTTCTAATTTTACTTGATGAATCAGTCATTGTTCAGATTGCTGATTTAGGTTGTGTCACAATATAGACTCATTGATTTTTAGAGCTCCTGGTGCAGTATATGGCAATATTGCAAAACATACTGCAGTAGGATTCAATGTTGCACTATAAATCATCATACATCATCATTTAACATCTAGAAATATCAAATTGCAGTGCCTAGGAGGAAATGATAATGTATTTGACTGGATAGCCTGCTGGCCACAGCACTGCGTACATTCCATGTATTGTGTATGTGCTGCCCCAAAATTCACTGACTGACCTGTTTTCAAAAATAAGTCAAGTGCAATCTATCACAAATTCACTTAATGTCAATCTATAACAGAAGTCTGTATTTAATCAGTGTGTACTGATGGTGTATCTTTCTTTATTTGTCCCACAATTAGGAAATTCCATTGTGCACAGTTGAAGAACATAAAAGAATAGAAAT